TTAAAACTTATTAATAGACATGCATTTAGATTAAAATTTTATAAGGATTTCCCCTGAAAAACTGAAACTAAAAATCCAACAAACACAATTTTCTGGGGGAACATGAAGGTCAGATGTTTTCAGAAGTTCTGCTTCCTTAGGTTGACCACATGGCTTTGCAGGAAAACATGTTTACTGTTGAAGTCTCTGGACATAGGCTCCATCCCTGTATCCCACATAAAGGTAGAAAGAAAGAACTGATTCCACGAAATTTTCCTGTTACATCCACACTGGCCCGATTGCTAGTTACACACACACACACACACACACACACACACACACAGAGAGAGAGAGAGAGAGAGAGAGAGTCCCCTTAGGGATACACATCACACACACACACACAAATACATGCACACACCTAACACCCCACATCACTAATGGGCAACCTACACACACACAGAAGCATAAACAGAGAGAGGGGGGAGGGGGAGGGGGAGTGAGTGTCAGTCTCCCTAGGGATACACATCACACACACACACACACACACACACAAATACATGTACACACCTAACACCCCACATCACTAATGGGCAACCTACACACACACAGAGGCATAAAGACGCACACCCACACCCACACCCACACACATACATATACACACAGAGAGTAATTTACAAACTTAAAAAAAAAAAAACCTCCACTTTTCCCAATATACTCCTGAGTGGAGTGAATAAAAGCTGAATGGTTGGGTCCACTTCTCAGGCAGGGCTCATCCTAGACTTTCCTTGACGTTTCTTTGAAAACTGTCTGGTAGAAGGTGGTAATTTGAGTTGTGAGGATAAGGCATCTAATGTGCAGTGTTTTCATTCTTATTGTTTTTTACTAACTCAGAAAACACCAGCAGCAGTTGTAGACAAAGGATGACCCTGCTTGTGCTTGGTGGTGACTCTTAGTCATCACAGCAGTAGGTTCCCGTTCTGTGAATCATCACGATAGTTCCAGTCTTAAAGATGTAACCTTCACCCATGCATTCCCCAGATCATTTCTCAGCTATTGCAGCTTACACTCTGTTGTAGTTCCAGTTCCAGGAGACACAGTGCCCTATTCTGGCTTCCATGGTCTCTGCACACAAACTTTTCATGTATATACAGGTGGACAAACATCACATAAAATAAAAAGTCTAAAGGGTAAAAAGAACAATGGATAACAGGGACTACGTTTACCAGTCTGGGCTACTCACTACTACTTAGTTGTTTTTTATTCTCCATTTAGCAAACAGAGTAAAACATCAGTAAAACTTTGAGCCTTCTGGCCTATTCTCACTTGCTGCTGCTGGGATCTTGATCTATTCTTGTACTCACACAGATGCATGGATACTGTCTAGCTGATATATTTTTTTTTTTTAATGAGGGCAAGAAGAGGACAGTGAACATAAGAGAGACTGTAAGCTTCCATTTCGTTAAAATACATACAATTAAGTATCTAGAAATGTAGTCCAGATATTGGTCTCAAACAGTGCTCCTCAAAAATATTTTAGCTTTAATATTTCACTTGTGAGAAATTTTATATCTGGGTCAAGACTACTGAGTCAGGATGCCTCATGGGCTGAAGCCGCAACTATCGAGGGTCCATTGCAGTAGGGTCTTGTCACCTCCTCTCTGAGTTTGTTCCCAGCGTTTGGGGACAGTACTGTCTATTTTCACAGATCTTCCCACCCCAAGAGGCCCTTCCTGATGCTAGCTACACCTTTGGCTACATTCTGGGCAAATATTCCAGGCTGGGACCCATATTTCCCATCTTGCCTCTGCTCCTTGGCAATCCTTTAGTTTTACAAAGTCCCTTGATGTTTTTACCCCCATTTTTCTTCTGTGTACAAGGGAGCTGACAGTAGTGTTCTTTCCAAAGATGGGGACAATCACCCTCAGCTTTGTAAATACATGCATGGTCAATGAAGGACCCAATAGGAGCTTGTTTCTCATATCGGTGTGTTAATGAGACTTTAATGCTGTGCTTAGGGGTGCTTTCTTGGGTACTTGCAAGATTACTTAGCCTTTGGAACATTCATAGCATAACGTTACTTCTGCTATCTACACTAAGCAACTATTCAAAACACGAGTGTGTTTTTAAAGATTGCAATGGATTATAGGTAGAATATATTGGGATTTAACTTTCTGTCCTCTAATGTAAGCCTGTTTTCTCATAGACAGTATTTCAGTGGTCATGCAATTTAACATATCTTACTATATATATGAAATGTCTAATGTAATATAAAATAACTTATTTAAAAAGACATAGACACATAGTTTATGACATCAATTCTCAACATGCATCCAAAATTTGGTGGATAAGTATCTTTGAGGGGCTATGCTTCACTACACTCTCCACCTTTTATGCCTGTATAGGCTCTTTTTTTGTGATTTATTTATTTATTTTTTAAAAATCAAATCATAATTTTTACTTATTTACACAGGGGTATAAACACAAAAAGACAGGACGTGGAGAAGGGGATGACACCAGAGCGTGGGTGTTCAGGGGGAATACAGATATCTTTCAGAACAGGGTATCGGCTAGGTGAAGGTTCAGGGGACAGGTCACTATGACTCTGCCTACGATTCACTTGTCCTTATCTAAGTTGGTATTATCTGCCAAGGCTACCTATTTACCAGGTCTATGACTACTCAGGCTGGTAATTTCCACAAAAGCTGCCTGTTTATAATAGCTTATAGCCATCTGTTTCAATGTTTTTCCACTGAGACCCAAGACTTTGTGTTAGCATACATGTATGACAGGCTATTGCTGATTTTAGGCCTATGGCTGATTTTAGGCCTTCAGTATATAAGCAGGGCTGCCCCTGACATCTCCTCCCTTCTCTAAGTATAGAAGGGCTGTGGCGATTCTAACCTTTCAAAGGCAGGGATAGAGGCCTGACCTCCAGTAACTGAAGGGGACTTTGTAATGGCTCCGGTTTCCCTGTTGTTGTCCAGTGAGGCATGAGGGCCATACCCATCCCAGTGTCTTTTTCCTGGAGAGGGGATACTTTTGACATCAACCCCTATGCAGTCAGGCTTGTCTTTGAGGAAACCCAGAGAGATATTTTTAACTTTTATTTATATTTCCTTGCAGTATTTAGCCTCACAGCCTAAGCAAGAATTCAGATCGCCAGTCAGAGGGAGTTCTGGGTGGCCCCTCTCTGCTTGGTCTAGGGACAGAAGTCCCCTCTTTTAGGTTGGGTGGAGATGGATTTTGGGAACACCCTGGATAGGGTAACAACCTCATTTTGAGTCTCGTAGTCCTCCACAGCTAACTTATGATAATGTACCTGAATAGGTACAAATTATCTGTTATTTCACAAAGTTAGTCAGTCTATTTAAGGCACAGAGACCAAAAGAAATAAGCAAAAATAACCCAATTAATGGTCCCAAGATGGGAGAAAGTGGGGTTGATAACCATGGAGAGGTTGAAAACCAATTCTTGTACCAGCTCTCCTCTTTCTCTTTTTCTCTCTGTCTTTTCTCAGGGCCTTCTCAGACCTTTTTCATGCTCTCTTTAACCATCCCTGTCTTGTCTATGTAAAGGCAACATTCTTCTTTAAGGGTTGTACACAGTCAAGAGCTGTACACAGTCTTTTCTATTGTAAAAGAGTAAATCAAGTACAATAAAGTCCTTTGCAATTTTTGGAGGTCTCTTTAGACAGTGTAACGAGGGATTTGTTCAGATTAGTGATGTCAATCTCTAGCTGTTTGATGTTTGTATAGGCTCTTTTATCTGATATATAGTTAGCTTCCTGTACAGGACCCATGAAATAGATCACCACTATGTCATTCTGTACTGTTGTGTGTGGCTCCTACACATTTGACCTCCCAGGCTGTTTGTTCCTGTGTCTTGAGCAGCCACAAACTTTCATCTGAAAGACATTTAAATTGCGGCAAAATAAATATCATCAAATGACAAGATTACTAGAAAAAATAGCACAGGAAGGAAGGGTACCTCAACATCACTCTGTGATGATAAAACTATTTATCCATGAAACACATGGCAGCCAACCGGAAGTGTGACTTTCATCTCAGAACACGTGGGATAAATGCAAGGACAGTTTAAGCTTCCCACAGAGGAAGAAGCTTTGGGGGAACAGACAAGTAACTCCTCAACAATAAAAGGAGACAGTCTGGGCTTCATTTTATTTTAGTTAAAGGCTGTGAGCTGCATCCTCTATGATTTTATTTGGAAAAATGAACATTTGAAAATGATTTTGAAAACACAACCAAAGGAGATGATTTTTCCTTTCAACTATGAAGGCAACTCAGAGAATTCTAACCACTTACCATTAGATGTGTCTGCTGACTTTGGACAGCACCCATTCGGCACTTGCTGCTTGGTTGAGCATTCACTTTTGACTAAATGATGACGAGGCCTGAAGCAAAGTTAAAATGACTTATTAAAGGTTTATAGTTCATAGTAAGCAAATGCAAAATGACTCTTATTGGCCCGTCAATATGAAGATTTTGCTGGAATATAATCTCAAGATTTTGTCCTCACTATAAACAAGTATTGAGTACATAGAAAAGAGGCTTTAATACTTGAGAAGTCTTACTGGATATTCAGGTGGAATTGCTGATGTCTCAGGCATTATGTAGTTTGTAGACCCGCAGAATCAGTGGCCAGATCATTTCTGTTGGCTGTTCCGAGTCTGACATGCACTATTTTAATGTAATTTCAGATACATTATGGGTACTGTGTCTTCTGGGGTGTTGTTTCCTGCTTTGATTAGTCTGTACTTTTCAAATGTAACAGAAGCATGCCGATGTGTTTTTGTGGCGAGTCACAAATAGGTAGTTCAGACCTTAGGTCACCAACAAGGGAAAAATGAAATTTCGGTTGCATTTTTCTTGCAACAGAATTAAAAATATCACATCTTATGTGATTAGAAATTGTCCCAGAATTCTGTTCTACAGCTAAGAATTGTGAAATGTGTGGTTGTGACCATCTACAAACATTAAAGTTCTATTTTCTTTTCTTCCCAGGATCCCCGGCCTTGACAGGAACAGGGACAATCAACATCATTGTAGATGATATCAATGACAACATCCCCACTTTCGCCAGTAACATGTACTTTACTGCAATTCCCGAGGATGCCCCGACGGGGACAGATGTCCTGTTAGTGAATGCCTCGGATGCAGATGCTGCGTCAAATGCTGTCATCAGGTCTGCACACTGAACCCTATAACATATTCCTCACAAGCTCTGGTTTTTAACAGCACATGCTATCTAATTTCACTGGGGATTCGATGTTAATACACCGTACTGCTCCTGTGAGCCATTGCAAAGCAACTATCCTGGAACTGAGAGTTAGACAGTACTAAGCCCGTGCGTATTAATTTCTGTTTCTCTGTTTCATCATTTGCAGGGTTCTTTTTAGTGACACAGCTGTCTTATTTATTTATTTATTTATTTATTTTTGCTATTTGTTGCTAATTCCTTTTTTTTTTACAATCTGTGTTCATCATGGCAGTCGGAGGTTCTGCACTATGCAGCTGGCTGGCATTAACCATATGTAGCTGCGGTTAGGGTCTCAGAAGCCTGCAGCATGGCATCACCTGCAGGTGCTTGAGCTGGGTAGGGTGGAGGAGATTAGGCTCAGTTCTGCCCTCTCTCTCCTCACAGAGATCCATGACTTGTCACTGAGCTCCTTAATGGAGTGACTTTCAACATGATGACTTTGAGTTTCAGAGCTCTAGGTGGGAGTTGCTAGTTGTAGTCAAGGTCAGGCTTAGAAGTGTCATGCATCACTTCCAGAATGTTCTAGCAGCAAAGCAGCTTCACCAGTAGGATAAATACACCCCAGGCCAGAAGAGGGAAACCTTGAAGACTTTATAACCAGGCAGTAGCTACAACATTAACATGTTTTCTTCGTCTAAAAATTTCTTTCTTTATGTAAATCCTGGTAGCCGAGGACAGCAATGTGGATGCTTGTTCAAAGAGATACAGAACTTGTAGTATGGAATGTTGGGCTAACATAGCCTCATTCTCTTCTCAGTTCGTTCTAAGTGGATAAGGGAAGAGTTCCCTATTTTCAATAGATAACCTTTGAAGATACATTTTTGCAATTGTTTGCGGGCTGTGTGAGTTAGGCAGGTAAGAACACAGTGGGTCAGAAGACAGATAATATATGCATTAATAATATGGTGATGGCAATATATGCATTATATGGTAATGGACTCATTAATTACTTTTACTATTTCTCAATTATTTTTGTCATTTGGTATTTATTTCTCATGAACTAAGGCCTCTTAGGAAACTGGTTTCTTCCTGTTGGCAGGGATAAGGGTGGATGAGATCCAGAGTCAGTCCTATTTAGTAAACATTAAATTGCTGATTGAGTACATGTTAGGTAACATAATAGCTCTCCTTCCTTTGAACTTCCATCTTTTGACAGGTAGTCTGTGAAATGCAATGGAGTAAGATTGTCTTACATGTGGTTGTTCCCTTGAATACAAAAGAAAATGACCTAACTAGGGGGATATATGGACAGGGGGTGATGGGCATGTTCATTCTTAATTTTACTGTGACAAAGACCTGCTTGAAAATGCTTGAAAGAAGGAAGGGTTGACTCTGGTCACAGTTGCAAAGGCTTTAGCCTGGATCCAGGGCCCTGGGCCTGGTATAAAGGAGATTAGCATGGCGTGGAAACATGTAAAGAGAGCTGCTCACTTGAAGGTAGCCAGCAAGCAGACAGGAGTCATAAGAAGGACAAATGCCAACATAAACCCTTCCAATGTATGCTCCATTGACTCACTTCAACCTAGCAGGCCTAGCTGCCTACTGGCTCAACCTCCAGTAGTCCATATTTTATATTTAGGTCCGAGCCTTCTTGATCTCTGAAGACACTCTTGCAGACACACTCAGAGGTGTCCTTTCCCAACCTCCCAACTTTGTGTCCAATTAAGTTTCAGCATTAATTGCCATGGTTTGTGAAGCTGTAACAAAACATTTCAGAGGGGGAGCCTACAATTTGCTTTGCCATATTGCATGTGATAGTAGATGCAGGGAAGGACTAAGGTGAAAATAAGGAGGGGACAGTTTCTATGGTAACTCCTGCTGCTGCATCCTCTGGAGGGGACGATGCTACACCAGCACAGAAGGGGAGAGCAGATGGATATATCCCAGAAGCCTCTGTGAATTTCAGAGGCCTCACCAAGAACTTGGCAGATGTCTCCCCTCAGGTGTTGTCAGTATGTTAGAAGGACCATGCAGAGGGAGGGATATGAACTTGATATGCGAAGGTCAGAGTGGAGAAGAGGCTAGAAAGGGGCAAAATCTTAAGGCACTCTAAGAGCTTTTGGTGATGGAGAGGTAACCCTCTACAAAATGAGCACATAGCACATTATCCTCAAAACTTGATTCCTTCAGCCACTGACCCACAAGGCTGAGTTTCCCTCAACCCCTTTTCCCAACAGTCTTCCAATCTGATTTTTTTCTTCATTTTGTTACTAATATATGCCTGAACCTACTGTGATGGACATCATCTTCCCGACTCCTAGATATAATCTGTTCTACATATTACACTATACTATATATGATATATGGTTATCTATGCTTATATGTAGGCTCACTGTTCAACACTAGGGTACTCAGGCAGTTTAAGCACTGCATCTTCTCGCTTAATGTGGGATGTGAAGGCAGGCTAGAGCTACAGCCCAGACAGTCAGCAAAAACTTCAAGTCATTAATCATCTCCACACAGATCCATTAGTCTTGCCTGTGCAAATGAAAGAAGACATTCTAGGAAAAACAGGGTGAGTACCAAGTCTTGGAGGGTGGAGAAACTTGAGCATCAGGGAAAAAAGACTAGGCCGTGTGTGAATGGACCTTGGAAAACTAACGAAGAAATTAAAATTTTCTATTACTTGGAAAATAAAACAACAACAACAACAACAAAACCACAAACAACCAAACACAAGAGAAGGTTTAGCATCAGAGCATGCCTTATTGTATTTTGAGACATTTCTATTGTGTATTGTAGAAAGTAATTCTGGGAAGGGAGAATCTCAGTCAATGATGGAATGGGCTATGGCCAGAAACTAAGCTTAGACACCTGTTAGCTCAGCCTTTCCCAACAATCTCCTGGTATTTGCTATTGCCTATTACTTTTCTAGATTCCAAGCACCCAACAAATGGGCTCAGCACTTCCAAGTCTTATTTTACCCTAAAGAAAGACAAGCTTTCAGCACCGTAAGATCATTTTCTGACACAGCAAAAGGATAAGGATTTTCCCAAGCCATACAGCCATGCTCATATCCACTGTGGCCCACACCAAAGCTTTGCACATGGCCACCCAAAGATCTGGCTCACTGCTGCTTTTGTAGCCTGACTTCCGAACCTAGCCACACCCATCTGAAAAAAAATACCCTCTCTGTGTTATCTTACACAAGTTTCAACAGAGATCTTTTTGAGGCTGAAAACACTATCATAACCTTTATGGGAAAGATTGCCAGGGATTCTGCCTTTCTTCCTTTGACAACAATATTCTATTACCAGCTTAGCTCCTTCCTTCCTCCCTTCCTCCTTTTGTTCCCTCCCTCCTTCCTTCCTTCCTTCCTTCCTTCCTTCCTTCCTTCCTTCCTTCCTTCCTCCCTCCCTCCCTCCCTCCCTCCCTCCCT